ACTACTATTGCCTATATGTTATATACCGCTTGGCTCGAAATAGCCCAGAATTGTCTCATTTCGTAGATTACGAAAGACGCGTAATAATAGACAAAAAATATTCATGCTTGGAATATATCCGAAGAAGCCATAACACTATTTTTTAGATAAGTATTTATATGATACCTTTATTCCCTTGTGAGAAAGACCTGTTCAAGCGATACTACTATTGCCTATGTGTTATATACCGCTTGCCTCGAAAGAGCCCAGAATTGTCTCATTTGGTAGATTACGAAAGACGCGTAATAATAGACATAAAATATTCATGTTTGGAATATATCCAAAGAAGCCATAACACTATTATTTAGGTAAGTATTTATATGATACCTTTATTCCCTTGGGAGAAAGACCTGTTCAAGCAATACTACTATTGCCTTTGTGTTATATACCGCTTGGCTCGAAATAGCCTAGAATTGTCTCATTTGGTAGATTACGAAAGACGCGTAATAATAGACACAAAATATTCATGCTTGGAATATATCCAAAGAAGCCATAACACTATTATTTAGGTAAGTATTTATATGATACCTTTATTCCCTTGGGAGAAAGACCTTTATAATTGATACTACTATTGCTTAGGTGATATCAACTGCTTGCCTCGAAATAGCCTAGAATTGTCTCATTTGGTAGATTACGAAAGACGCTAATAATAGACACAAAATATTCATGCTTGGAATATATCCGAAGAAGCCATAACACTATTATTTAGATAAGTATTTATATGATACCTTTATTCCCTTGTGAGAAAGATCTGTTCAAGCGATACTACTATTGCCTATGTGTTATATACCGCTTGCCTCGAAAGAGCCCAGAATTGTCTCATTTGGTAGATTACGAAAGACGCGTAATAATAGACATAAAACATTCATGTTTGGAATATATCCAACGAAGCCATAACACTATTATTTAGGTAAGTATTTATATGATACCTTTATTCCCTTGGGAGAAAGACCTGTTCAAGCGATACTACTATTGCCTTTGTGTTATATACCGCTTGGCTCGAAATAGCCTAGAATTGTCTCATTTGGTAGATTACGAAAGACGCGTAATAATAGACACAAAATATTCATGCTTGGAATATATCCAAAGAAGCCATAACACTATTATTTAGGTAAGTATTTATATGATACCTTTATTCCCTTGTGAGAAAGACCTGTTCAAGCGATACTACTATTGCCTATGTGTTATATACTGCTTGCCTCGAAATAGCCTAGAATTGTCTCATTTAGTAGATTACGAAAGACGCGTAATAATAGACATGAAGTATTAATGCCTGGAATATATCCGAAGAAGCTATAACACTATTATTTAGGTAAGTATTAATATGATACATTTTTTCCCTTGGGAGAAAGACCTTTTCAAGCGATACTACTATTGCGTAGGTGCTATAAACCGCTTGCCTTGAAATAGACTAGAATTGTCTCATTTGGTAGATTACGAAAGATGCGTAATAATAGACACACAATAATTATTTTATGAATGTATCCGAAGCGAGCGCCAGACAGGGTAACAACAAGTACCATCTTATAGCATATTTTGGTATGACGTGGCCAGGGATCGAACCCGGACCCTCCTCTCTCTGGGCGGACGCTCTGCCACTAGATGGAGGCGGTGCTCTTTTTGTGAAATAAACGAAGTAGGGTTATAATAGACACATAATACTCCAAATTGGTAGGTAGTTTACACTATAAAAAGTCACCATAGTATCATTGGTGTAAGTATGTGTACCATACATGTATTTACTCGGGGGATATTGCCTTCCCAGGCATACTAGTTTTTTGCGGGTGCTATGCAACTGTAATTTCCCCAACTTTTCAAATCCCTTTGATTGTCTGTGATGCATTCATATGATTTGCACCTTTTTTTTACCTTTTACACCTGGCTGATAATCGAGATTGGCGTTTTGTCATTGTGTAGCAAAACTATTCTTGCTACTCTACGTCACCTGATAAAGTATTGATATTTTATTTCATATGTATGCAAACAATTGAGACAATTTGTTATGCTTATTTAGCTAATTTTACTGACAAATATCTATTTTCGTCCCAACATTCAAAACTAAATAGAAGACCACTAAAATTTGATTATTTACAAATATCGTTCTATCATGCATGGTTTGTATATCAGCAAACGCATCAATTCCAAACATGTAATCATATCCTCGAAATCTTCCAAGTATATTGTTATAAATAACAATTCTGAATATATATGATATAAAAATATAGAATTCATTTTCTACCTCGTTATTTCAAGATATGCATAAACATCCTGACATCTACCCTAGTCTATTGGTTAAAGTGTTTGCTGGTCATGGCGAAGGCTGTTTCGAATCCCCACATGGGCTCAATGTGTGAAGCCCATTTCTGGTGTCTTCCTTTATCATATTGCTGGAATATTGCTAAAAGCAGCGCAAAAAAAGCTTGTTAAAGCAATCACTGGATTGTCCGACCAAGATTCGATCATTTACAGACCACCGCAATACAGCTGGAATATTGCTGAGTGCGGCGATAAAAAACAAACAAACAAACATATCCCAAAGCGTAATCCAACGTTTCTCGCATTAATGCTACCAACTCATTTTCATGAATTGTTGCAGACAAATGTACTATTGTTAACCCCCTCCCCCGATTTCACACACAAAAAACTGTTGATTTTACATTTAAATGGATCAATCGTTCGTAGCTATAGGCTCAGGAGTGAAACACCAAATAAATCACAATGCTTTAAGAATCTCATTTTTAAGAACATAATTATACACAAGCCAGAGATATTTTACGACCGTTTCCTAAGATTCACGGAAAGTGTTGAAAATTCTTTGGGTTTATAAATAGACGGCTGGACGGGCCGATCCCTAATGTAAATAATCTATGTCTTTGGAATTATGTTTATCAATTAGGACTCGCATTTAGCCAAACAGGATGTCATTTGATGGCACCGTATTTAGTACCAATTAAAATTAAAGGCGGACAATGTTGCGCTGTTGTCAGTGTGAGTATTACCGTTGGTGATAATTGCTAGGAATGTGACCAGAGTCATGACTGGTGAATAGTGCCTGTTCGTTCCATTGTCTTTCACCATTAGTTTGTCATATTATAAACAGAACTCGAATGTACCTCGAATGCTTCACTGATAATATTTGTGTCCGTTTTGGAACCGGACTGTATATCACCACCTCTTCCAGGACCTCACAACCTCCAGTGGAAAAATACCACAACAGGTCTACCCGGAGGGGAGGGAACAGTCAGCAGTCTATGATGATAATGAATGGTGGGATACTGAAACAATGCTTCAGAATCAAATGAAAATCCAAGTGCTTTGGAAATGTTGATCTTGATGTATCATGTAACAACTTTCTCACGGCTTCATATGAAATCCACTGATAACATATGTACGTGCGTGCGTGCGTGCGTGCGTGCGTGCGTGCGTGTGTGCGTGTGTGCGTGCGCGTGTGCAGCATACGATCTTTCAAGTTGAAGAAAAAATCGTACATTTTGGGACCAGCTAAATGTCCTAGACAGCAAGGTATTGAGTGAAAAAGTATTGTTTGGCATGTCTTTACACATGTTGTGAAGGGCTGACTGAAAAATCACAGCTTCCCATAACCCATCATGTCCTTTTTTCTTAAGCACTGTAATCCCCATTTATAAACACAATAAGGCATCCGAGTGCCACCAGAAAACACCCCATATATAAATGTAAACCAGATGGTCTACTGAGCTGTCACATGCGCAGCCATATATTCCACTGGAGACGTTAAACAAACAAACAAACAAACAAACACAAATTGTACATGGCAAATTCTGTATTCGTCTTTAACACTTTTTGGCATGATTTCATGATACCAAAAAATACTTTAAGCAGCTGTTTCTTTTTCCGTTTAGCGTCAATAAGTTTTATAGTCAGTTATGTACTCATGTTTAACACTGCATGGCATGATTTCATGATCCCAAAAATACTTTAAGCCAGCTGTGAAAATCTAAGTTTCTTTTTTTCTGTTTAGGGTCAATAAGTTTTAGTTCACATTTTGTTGCCTGTTCAATTTCTGACCACACCCGCCATCACCTCACGAGACGTTGTCTTGAATTTATCTACATAATGCAGAACACTTTCCCATAAAAGTTTGGGTAACACAAATCCATTCTTCCTTACAGAGGAAATTGTCGTATTAGTGCAAATCCGGCAATCTAAGTTATGAAGCACACGCCTTTTGATTTTAAGTATTTCTTAAAACCTACAGGTTTTCATGCCAAGCTGGGATTTGACTTGATACTACTGATAGCTGAGTCACTGTCAAGTTTATAAGATGAAAGGACAAAGGCAATGACGTCATGTTTTTGAGAGTTTCAAGCCCTCTGTGAAAGATCTATCTAAATTTACTATATGGGAGATTTCAACCAGACTGGTCCTCTTCTGCGTGTGTTGTGTTGAAACTTGCATAATTACATAGAGACTGGCTCCAAATCTAATATTCTGTGTAAACCTGACAGATACAGAAAGTAAGTTGAATAAACTCGAAATTACTGTACTTTTCAAACTGTGAGTCACACATTGTTCTAATATACACACACAGATATCTATTGACACTGTTTTAAAATAGAAATTGCAAAAAGGATAGTGGTGGAATAATATTAAACTGCACCTCTACCTCGATCTATTGTATAAAACTGTAAATGAAAAAGAAGAAAATAGAGATATTGACAAAATTAACATTATTTGTATGTGTGGATAAAAGCGCGATCCTAGAATGTCTCACGTACAGTCCCTGAACCATATTCTTTTCCCTTCCGCCCAGCCCTTTCTGCAATGCAATAGCAAATCTAGATTGTCCTCAGGTTCAGGAATCTCCCATCTCACTTGGGCTCCTTTTCAATTTAAATGGAGTTGTTTCTTTCAAAATTATATATTTTCAGAGACTAAGCGTTAGTGTAGCACGTTCCAACACGACCTTGAACTTTCTTGAACAAAATGGCGACCAGGAAGTGAATTGTAGAAATGATAACGACGATGTTAGCTGTTTGTAAGCAAAATGTGATATGTCATGGGATACCTTATCAGCCCGTGGATACATAAGGTAGTGTCTTCACTATTTATATTTTTAAAGGATATTTTGCATTTATAGATAAAGTTGTAGACAAGGATCTAGCAATACTTGCATTCGACTGCACCAACGGGCATTGGGTGCGACCGAGGCAAGACATGCTCATTGGTGTGAATCCTCTCTCCTCTCAGGAAATAACGGAGCAATGTTCGTAAATATATTATGACCGCTAATTGTGAATGAACCGCATTTTTGTATTCGCAGATGCGCCGTAAGTGTATCCAGTGTGAATTTGGGTTGTTTTGACAATTTCTCATAAAAAAAACACAAAGATGTTTAAAATCGCGTGATATCTCTCTTATATTGTCAGCCTAAACTCTCTTTTCCTCTTTGGTTTAAATGGCAAGCACGCAATTGTTAGCCATGACCCTGTGTTATTTGTACAGATAATTAAATATATTTGAAGTGGCCAATAACTATGGTATGTAAATAGCATGTTTTGACCGTAACTTTGCCTTCGTAAAATTATATGTAATCTTTAAAAACTACGACTCAATATCCACTAGGCACAGAAAGCAGTAAACTTGATATGCTATATAGAAACACATTAGACTCAGAGCTGTTCCTGCATGGAGAATGAATTTTTTTTATCACTTCCAAAATAAAATGGTAAAAATCTGAAAGAATCTTTCAGACTTTATTTCTCACAGACCAAAATATGATTTAGAATATACAATGGGACTAATAATAAAACTTATTTTTATGAATTGATTTTTACCTAAATTAAAGTTAACTTTTTCAAACCTTCCAAGAGACAGCTGAGGAAGCTGCAGAGTTATGGGGCTCAAAGCTGTACATGCCAGTTTTGTTTGTTTGTTGTTTAACGCGTCATTCAGCAGTATTTCAGCTATATGACAGTGTCTGTAATTATAAGGTCTGGACCAGACAATCCGGTGATTGAAATCATGAACATCAATTAATCAGGATGCCAGGACATGCATAAACCGAAAAATCGAACCTGACATCCCAATCCCAGTAGTAGTTTCTTATGACAAGATAGGGACCAGTACAGGAAGATGATACCTTAATTCATATATGTTTGTCATGCCAGTGTAATATATGAATTACTTTTCTTATAAGAAAGGGCAAAAATCGTTGGCAGTGTTTGAAATTAACAGAAATCCTTAATGTTATGATTTGTTTTCTTATATGTTGGAAACAAAGGTGGTCCTGGGGTCCTCCAGGTTTGTTGCTATAGTATTTGAATTAAGGACCCCCCCCTAAATTTTTAACTTTTCACATAACAAGTACCCTTTGAGTCTTATGTTTAATTTCAAACCCTGTTTTACTTCTCAGAATATGTGGTAATGCTTAACATTGGACTTTAGTCATTGTCCCATAACGTTCCTTTGAATATTACATTGTCCTCTCACTTCAAACCAACAACATTATTCAGTTTTTTGTCTGGACAAGACAATCCAGTGACTGATATTTTGAGCAACAATCTACTCTGTTGACTACAATGACCTCACCACCAGATCACACTGTTACATACAGTACCCTGACCACCAGGTCAACACTGTTACATACAGTGACCTGACCACCAGTCCACACTGTTACATACAGTACCCTGACCACCAGATCACACTGTTACATACAGTGACCTGACCACCAGATCACACTGTTACATACAGTACCCTGACCACCAGATCACACTGTTACATACAGTACCCTGACCACCAGTCCACACTGTTACATACAGTACCCTGACCACCAGTCCACACTGTTACATACAGTACCCTGACCACCAGATCACACTGTTACATACAGTGACCTGACCACCAGATCACACTGTTACATACAGTGACCTGACCACCAGATCACACTGTTACATACAGTGACCTGACCACCAGATCACACTGTTACATACAGTGACCTGACCACCAGTCCACACTGTTACATACAATGACCTCACCACCAGATCACACTGTTACATACAGTACCCTGACCACCAGTCCACACTGTTACATACAGTGACCTGACCACCAGATCACACTGTTACATACAGTGTCCTGACCACCAGTCCACACTGTTACATACAGTGACCTGACCACCAGATCACACTGTTACATACAGTGACCTGACCACCAGTCCACACTGTTACATACAGTGACCTGACCACCAGTCCACACTGTTACATACAGTACCCTGACCACCAGTCCACACTGTTACATACAGTGACCTGACCACCAGATCACACTGTTACATACAGTGACCTGACCACCAGATCACACTGTTACATACAGTACCCTGACCACCAGATCACACTGTTACATACAGTGACCTGACCACCAGATCACACTGTTACATACAGTACCCTGACCACCAGATCACACTGTTACATACAGTGACCTGACCACCAGTCCACACTGTTACATACAATGACCTGACCACCAGATCACACTGTTACATACAGTACCCTGACCACCAGTCCACACTGTTACATACAATGACCTCACCACCAGATCACACTGTTACATACAGTACCCTGACCACCAGTCCACACTGTTACATACAGTGACCTGACCACCAGATCACACTGTTACATACAGTGTCCTGACCACCAGTCCACACTGTTACATACAGTACCCTGACCACCAGATCACACTGTTACATACAGTACCCTGACCACCAGATCACACTGTTACATACAGTGACCTGACCACCAGTCCACACTGTTACATACAGTGACCTGACCACCAGATCAACACTGTTACATACAGTGACCTGACCACCAGATCAACACTGTTACATACAATGACCTGACCACCAGATCACACTGTTACATACGGTGACCTCACCACCAGTCCACACTGTTACATACAATGACCTGACCACCAGTCAACACTGTTACATACAGTGACCTCACCACCAGTCCACACTGTTACATACAGTACCCTGACCACCAGATCACACTGTTACATACAGTGACCTCACCACCAGTCCACACTGTTACATACAATGACCTGACCACCAGTCAACACTGTTACATACAGTGACCTCACCACCAGTCAACACTGTTACATACAGTGACCTGACCACCAGATCACACTGTTACATACAGTGACCTGACCACCAGATCAACACTGTTACATACAATGACCTGACCACCAGATCACACTGTTACATACAGTGACCTGACCACCAGATCACACAGTTACATACAGTGACCTGACCACCAGATCACACTGTTACATACAGTGACCTGACCACCAGTCCACACTGTTACATACAGTGACCTGACCACCAGATCACACTGTTACATACAGTACCCTGACCACCAGATCACACTGTTACATACAGTGACCTGACCACCAGTCCACACTGTTACATACAGTGACCTGACCACCAGATCACACTGTTACATACAGTGACCTGACCACCAGATCACACTGTTACATACAGTGACCTGACCACCAGTCCACACTGCTACATACAGTACCCTGACCACCAGATCACACTGTTACATACAATGACCTGACCACCAGTCCACACTGTTACATACAGTACCCTGACCACCAGTCCACACTGTTACATACAGTGACCTGACCACCAGATCACACTGTTACATACAGTACCCTGACCACCAGTCCACACTGTTACATACAGTGACCTGACCACCAGATCACACTGTTACATACAATGACCTGACCACCAGTCCACACTGTTACATACAGTACCCTGACCACCAGTCCACACTGTTACATACAGTGACCTGACCACCAGATCACACTGTTACATACAGTGACCTGACCACCAGTCCACACTGTTACATACAGTGTCCTGACCACCAGTCCACGCTGTTACATACAGTACCCTGACCACCAGATCACACTGTTACATACAGTACCCTGACCACCAGATAACACTGTTACATACAGTGTCCTGACCACCAGTCCACACTGTTACATACAGTACCCTGACCACCAGATCACACTGTTACATACAGTGACCTGAACACCAGATCACACTGTTACATACAGTGACCTGACCACCAGATCACACTGTTACATACAGTGACCTGACCACCAGTCCACACTGTTACATACAGTACCCTGACCACCAGATCACACTGTTACATACAGTGACCTGACCACCAGTCCACACTGTTACATACAGTACCCTGACCACCAGATCACACTGTTACATACAGTGACCTGACCACCAGATCACACTGTTACATACAGTACCCTGACCACCAGATCACACTGTTACATACAGTGACCTGACCACCAGATCACACTGTTACATACAATGACCTGACCACCAGTCCACACTGTTACATACAGTACCCTGACCACCAGATCACACTGTTACATACAGTGACCTGACCACCAGATCACACTGTTACATACAGTGACCTGACCACCAGATCACACTGTTACATACAGTGACCTGACCACCAGATCACACTGTTACATACAGTGTCCTGACCACCAGTCCACACTGTTACATACAGTACCCTGACCACCAGATCACACTGTTACATACAATGACCTGACCACCAGTCCACACTGTTACATACAGTGACCTGACCACCAGATCACACTGTTACATACAGTGACCTGACCACCAGATCACACTGTTACATACAGTGACCTGACCACCAGATCACACTGTTACATACAGTGACCTGACCACCAGTCCACACTGTTACATACAATGACCTGACCACCAGTCCACACTGTTACATACAGTGACCTCACCACCAGGTCAACACTGTTACATACAGTGACCTCACCACCAGGTCAACACTGTTACATACAATGACCTGACCACCAGTCCACACTGTTACATACAGTACCCTGACCACCAGTCCACACTGTTACATACAGTGACCTGACCACCAGTCCACACTGTTACATACAGTGACCTGACCACCAGTCCACACTGTTACATACAGTGTCCTGACCACCAGTCCACGCTGTTACATACAGTACCCTGACCACCAGATCACACTGTTACATACAGTACCCTGACCACCAGATAACACTGTTACATACAGTGTCCTGACCACCAGTCCACACTGTTACATACAGTACCCTGACCACCAGATCACACTGTTACATACAGTGACCTGAACACCAGATCACACTGTTACATACAGTGACCTGACCACCAGATCACACTGTTACATACAGTGACCTGACCACCAGTCCACACTGTTACATACAGTACCCTGACCACCAGATCACACTGTTACATACAGTGACCTGACCACCAGTCCACACTGTTACATACAGTACCCTGACCACCAGATCACACTGTTACATACAGTGACCTGACCACCAGATCACACTGTTACATACAGTACCCTGACCACCAGATCACACTGTTACATACAGTGACCTGACCACCAGATCACACTGTTACATACAATGACCTGACCACCAGTCCACACTGTTACATACAGTACCCTGACCACCAGATCACACTGTTACATACAGTGACCTGACCACCAGATCACACTGTTACATACAGTGACCTGACCACCAGATCACACTGTTACATACAGTGACCTGACCACCAGATCACACTGTTACATACAGTGTCCTGACCACCAGTCCACACTGTTACATACAGTACCCTGACCACCAGATCACACTGTTACATACAATGACCTGACCACCAGTCCACACTGTTACATACAGTGACCTGACCACCAGATCACACTGTTACATACAGTGACCTGACCACCAGATCACACTGTTACATACAGTGACCTGACCACCAGATCACACTGTTACATACAGTGACCTGACCACCAGTCCACACTGTTACATACAATGACCTGACCACCAGTCCACACTGTTACATACAGTGACCTCACCACCAGGTCAACACTGTTACATACAGTGACCTCACCACCAGGTCAACACTGTTACATACAATGACCTGACCACCAGTCCACACTGTTACATACAGTACCCTGACCACCAGTCCACACTGTTACATACAGTGACCTGACCACCAGTCCACACTGTTACATACAATGACCTGACCACCAGTCCACACTGTTACATACAATGACCTGACCACCAGTCCACACTGTTACATACAGTGACCTGACCACCAGTCCACACTGTTACATACAGTGACCTGACCACCAGTCCACGCTGTTACATACAGTGACCTGACCACCAGTCCACACTGTTAGATACAATGACCTGACCACCAGATCCACACTGTTACATACAGTACCCTGACCACCAGATCACACTGTTACATACAGTACCCTGACCACCAGTCCACACTGTTACATACAGTGACCTGACCACCAGTCCACACTGTTACATACAGTGACCTGACCACCAGTCCACGCTGTTACATACAGTGACCTCACCACCAGTCCACACTGTTACATACAGTACCCTGACCACCAGTCCACACTGTTACATACAATGACCTGACCACCAGTCAACACTGTTACATACAGTACCCTGACCACCAGGTCAACACTGTTACATACAGTACCCTGACCACCAGTCCACACTGTTACATACAATGACCTGACCACCAGATCACACTGTTACATACAGTACCCTGACCACCAGGTCAACACTGTTACATACAGTACCCTGACCACCAGATCACACTGTTACATACAGTACCCTGACCACCAGATCACACTGTTACATACAGTACCCTGACCACCAGATCACACTGTTACATACAGTTACCTGACCACCAGATCACACTGTTACATACAATACCCTGACCACCAGATCACACTGTTACATACAGTGACCTGACCACCAGATCACACTGTTACATACAGTACCCTGACCACCAGATCACACTGTTACATACAGTGTCCTGACCACCAGATCACACTGTTACATACAGTGCCCTGACCACCAGGTCAACACTGTTACATACAGTGATCTGACCACCAGTCCACACTGTTACATACAATGGCCTGGCCACAGATATTGATCATGTTTAAATCAATAGTTCGCTTTATGAATTCATTTTTATTCCATATCTTCTTTATTCACAGGTTGGCATAGACGCCTTAAGTCCAAGTGTGGTGAAAAGGAACTGAACCTGTACCGATTGATCTCCGCCCTTCACCGCAAAGCAAAGCTGCTACCTACCCAGGCCACAATGCTGCACGAAAAAAAGTTGACAAGCCAGGCGTATTGTGCCCTTAAACCTACTATGGTCTTAAGCCTGCACTATTCATGAGTGGGCGTGGCTTATGTATGCACGTGACACTATCTTTGGCAGGGCTGGTTGACCTCTCCGAAAGCATCCCTGACTCATCTGTCGTCGCGATGTTTCACTCACAATCTCCACATCAGGTATATTACATGTAGTTTATGTGTCTTTGAAGATTGTGCTGAACTGTATTTGCAAGCCTCGACTTCGGACAGATCGAAAGTTACGTGAATTACAGTCAACCCAACTCGCCTGTCTCCGAAACATTCAGTGATGCACCACAGTAGCCCTGATCAAAACATTGACATATCTTTACTGTAACTTTCATACCCAACACAGTAAAAACCCTTGTCACCAAGCTCCATACTTATACAATACATCTTTCTCTACTTGTTAAGGACTTAAGTCTACAATGATTGGGTGCCCTTCCTGGACCCTCCAGACAGTCATGGGCAGGTGCATAGGCCCCTCCTAATTCCTTTGACCATGTACAACCCCATCTAGACTGAAACGTTTCATTCACTCTCTCTCCCATTACAGCAACAATGGGCGACTTGCTCGGCTCCTCAAGGCAGATGGTCAGTGTGCACCTCAAGAGGTTCTGCCAGCTTGCCAGGTGAGATGCAACTGTTAAAGCATATAAACGATGGTCAGTGTTTTAACAGTGTAGGCATGCATGGTGGAGACCAGTGTGTGGAGCTGCCTCTCTGTGTGCAGTCACTGCACTAAATCAATGTACTCTGTAGCTATTACTCCCTGTATTTGTCAGTGAATCTGTGTTAACAGTGTAGGCATGCATGGTGGAGACCAGTGTGTGGAGCTGCCTCTCTGTGTGCAGTCACTGCACTAAATCAATGTACTCTGTAGCTATTACTCCCTGTATTTGTCAGTGAATCTGTGTTAACAGTGTAGGCATGCATGGCTGAAGTCCAGTGTGTGGAGCTGCCTCTCTGTGTGCAGTCACTGCACTAAAATCAATGTACTCTGTAGCTATTACTCCCTGTATTTGTCAGTGAATCTGTGTTAACAGTGTAGGCATGCATGGCTGAAGTCCAGTGTGTGGAGCTGCCTCTCTGTGTGCAGTCACTGCACTAAATCAATGTACTCTGTAGCTATTACTCCCTGTATTTGTCAGTGAATCTGTGTTAACAGTGTAGGCATGCATGGTGGAGACCAGTGTGTGGAGCTGCCTCTCTGTGTGCAGTCACTGCACTAAATCAATGTACTCTGTAGCTATTACTCCCTGTATTTGTCAGTGAATCTGTTTTAACAGTGTAGGCATGCATGGCAGAAGTCCAGTGTGTGGAGCTGCCTCTCTGTGTGCAGTCACTGCACTAAATCAATGTACTCTGTAGCTATTACTCCCTGTATTTGTCAGTGAATCTGTGTTAACAGTGTAGGCATGCATGGCTGAAGTCCAGTGTGTGGAGCTGCCTCTCTGTGTGCAGTCACTGCACTAAATCAATGTACTCTGTAGCTATTACTCCCTGTATTTGTCAGTGAATCTGTTTTAACAGTGTAGGCATGCATGGTGGAGACCAGTGTGTGGAGCTGCCTCTCTGTGTGCAGTCACTGCACTAAATCAATGTACTCTGTAGCTATTACTCCCTGTATTTGTCAGTGAATCTGTGTTAACAGTGTAGGCATGCAAGGCTGAAGTCCAGTGTGTGGAGCTGCCTCTCTGTGTGCAGTCACTGCACTAAATCAATGTACTCTGTAGCTATTACTCCCTGTATTTGTCAGTGGATCTGTGTTAACAGTGTAGGCATGCATGGCTGAAGTCCAGTGTGTGGAGCTGCCTCTCTGTGTGCAGTCACTGCACTAAATCAATGTACTCTGTAGCTATTACTCCCTGTATTTGTCAGTGAATCTGTGTTAACAGTGTAGGCATGCATGGCTGAAGACCAGTGTGTGGAGCTGCCTCTCTGTGTGCAGTCACTGCACTAAATCAATGTACTCTGTAGCTATTACTCCCTGTATTTGTCAGTGATCTGTGTTAACAGTGTAGGCATGCATGGCTGAAGACCAGTGTGTGGAGCTGCCTCTCTGTGTGCAGTCACTGCACTAAATCAATGTACTCTGTAGCTATTACTCCCTGTATTTGTCAGTGAATCTGTGTTAACAGTGTAGGCATGCATGGCTGAAGACCAGTGTGTGGAGCTGCCTCTCTGTGTGCAGTCACTGCACTAAATCAATGTACTCTGTAGCTATTACTCCCTGTATTTGTCAGTGAATCTGTGTTAACAGTGTAGGCATGCATGGCTGAAGTCCAGTGTGTGGAGCTGCCTCTCTGTGTGCAGTCACTGCACTAAATCAATGTACTCTGTAGCCTATTACTCCCTGTATTTGTCAGTGAATCTGTGTTAACAGTGTAGGCATGCATGGCTGAAGTCCAGTGTGTGGAGCTGCCTCTCTGTGTGCAGTCACTGCACTAAATCAATGTACTCTGTAGCTATTACTCCCTGTATTTGTCAGTGAATCTGTGTTAACAGTGTAGGCATGCATGGCTGAAGTCCAGTGTGTGGAGCTGCCTCTCTGTGTGCAGTCACTGCACTAAATCAATGTACTCTGTAGCTATTACTCCCTGTATTTGTCAGTGAATCTGTGTTAACAGTGTAGGCATGCATGGCTGAGTCCAGTGTGTGGAGCTGCCTCTCTGTGTGCAGTCACTGCACTAAATCAATGTACTCTGTAGCTATTACTCCCTGTATTTGTCAGTGAATCTGTGTTACAGTGTAGGCATGCATGGCTGGAGACCAGTGTGTGGAGCTGCACTCTCTGTGTGCAGTCACTGCACTAAATCAATGTACTCTGTAGCTATTACTCCCTGTATTTGTCAAGTGAATCTGTGTTAACAGTGGTAGGCATGCATGTCCTGGAAGACCAGTGTGTGGAGCTGCACTCGCTGTGTTGCAGTCACTTGCACTAAATCAATGTA